CCCTCCCTCTCTGCCCCTGCCCATCTGGGTGCACAGATATAAACCCTCCAGCCAATATGTTTCCTGTGGGGGACAGGCAGGTTTGCCTGGAGGGTGCACATGGCTCTTGTCTCATCCCAAGGCTTGCCCTAGACACGGAGCGAGGGGATTTGCTGGCAACTGCTCCCGGTGAGCTCACGCTGTGGGCACTCCTTCGGAGCTAGAGCGGCAGGGCAGGTTACTGCTCCAGCTTTGCTAGAAACCTTGGAGCTCCCAACACTTCACCTCACCTTGTGGAAGCAGTGCTGGTCCAACCAGGGATCACAGGTAAGCCAGGCTGGGAGGAGAGCAGCACTGGGCACTCCATCATTGCTTCAGCTTTTCTGTTTCTTTCTTCTTCTTCTGTCTCATGTCTCCTCCATCTCTGAACTGACATCTCTTCAGCAGTGAAATGGGATTTCCCATCTTGAGTCTGACTCTTTTTTCACCCTGCACAATGCTGTAAAGGGATAATGCAAAGCACCAGGGATGAGGAGAGAGTCCCTGTGGTGTGAACGAGCACTTGGAAACCCAAGAGCATGAAGAGTTAGACCTCAAGCCAATCTGCCTGCCATCAGTTTTATTCTACTTCTGTAGCTGTGATCTCACCTGCTCTGGGAGCCAGCCAGCCTGGATTAATGAGAGAGCATCGTTAACTCACTGGTTTAAAAGAATGGTGGAGGTTCACCCACAAGTCTGTTTATCTGGTTGGAGCAGGACAGAGCTCGTTTGCATTAGTGTTACACTCTTGTGTTTTCTCCCTTTGAAGCTCTTGGGAAGAGCAGCAGAGGAAGCTGTGGGAGCTTCATACTACCACACACCCACAGTAACTGCTGGATGTGGTGGTGTTGCTCAGCTTACACCAGTGTAAAGAGGGAGCTGACTGTTTCTCCTCAAGAACATGATCAGCTGATGAGTAGCTTTAAGATAAACTTCCCTTCCCTGCATTAGACTCAAGCTGAAAGGATTTTCAAAGGAAACAAAGCTCTGTTTTCCATCAGTGCCTCTGGAGCTCAGAGATGCCACTGAAGTGGTGTCACCTTGGTACCTGCTTGGTGTCACCCAAGTGCCTGCTCATTCTGCAGGGCTAGAGAAGCTCAACTGGACAGGTTAGTTCAACACTGCATCCAGGGGCTGAACTGCTCAGCTCCAGGGAATTTTTGTGGCTGTTTTGCACCAAATACCCCTCTGCTGGGGTTTGGACGGTGCTTCCAAACACCTCTAAGGTTGACACTTGTCTATCAGCTTCTAAAATAGTTCCAAAGTCTCAAGGATCTGAAACAAAATAAGCTAAATAGAAAACTTCTGATCCAAATAGGATCAGAACTTTTACTTTTGCAAATGTGCCATGTACTCTAGGATGACTGTGCTTAAGCAGGGAGGTTGGACCAGATGTGGTCCCTCCAACCTGTGCTTCTGTGAAAGGAATAAAAGAGTGCTGAGAAACGATGCTCTGACTGAGGTCAGAAAAGCCTTTAGTATGGGGAAGAAAAACAAGCAGGATGTTTGATTTTTTTTTTTCAAATCCCAGTTGTGACTGAGGTTTCTGCCACTACCAGAGGTCAGGCTAGGGGTCCTGGCAGTGGAGAACCCACTCGAGGTGTGAAACTCTGATGTCTTTCACTGGGAAACCAGGATGGAGCACTCACAGTGAAATCAAATTCAAAATGAAGAGGCACCTCCCAGTGCCTTTGCTCTCTGTCCCAGGACTCTGGAAATACCCTGGTGCTCCAGGGCTGAGTTCCCATAAGGTTAGTGCCAGCCCTTGGGAAGACGCTGAGGAAGAACTAAAGACAACAGAGCCAATGAGCACCAACTCCTGTAGGGTTGTCCACTCCCAAAAGGTAGTTCACAGCCTACAAAACACAGCAAAGTCCTCCTGGCAGAAGGGTCTGAGTCATAAAGAAAGTGAAGAGAAGGGAGAAGAGAGGGTGACAAGAACTGGGCTGAAAGGGGAAAGTGTCAGTGAGAGATGTTCACGCCATGGACAGGACTATGGTGGCTCAGAGTTCAAGAGCATTTTCTGGGGTGATTTGTCACTGATGCATCGTGGGGAGAGAGAGGAAATATCCTGCAATACGATGCTTGCTGGGAAGAGGAAGAATCTTTCATAGCAGGGTAAGATGCTATGCTTGAGCTGAGTGGTGCCGGGCGAGCACATACACACGAGGAGGGCAGAGTGGGATTCTCCTCTTCCCTTTGGGTGTGTAGCACTGACCCTCTCCTCTGCCTTTTGCAAGGTGCCTGAGGATGCCGAGCATATTTTCCTACCAGAGTGCCGAAGTGGATTGGTGTGAAGGCAACTTCGAGCGCTCGGCGGTGATTGCGGAGTACTACAACACCGTGAGTGCGGGCGCGGCCGAGGGCAGGCTGGGCTCCCAGCACCCAGGAGCTGCTCTTGGGAGACCAGACAGGATGGGACAACCTTGGCTTTTTTCCTTCTGCTCACTCCTTTGAAATTCCTGGTGTTGGAGGGTGCTGGTCTGGGGAATCTTTTCTGAGCTTCAGGTAAATCATGGGACTTTTCTTGCTTCCAAAACGTGTCAGGGTCAGGGGTACTGCTGGTATGTGTGGGGCTGATTCCCAGGGAGAAAACTCTGGCAGCACTTCTTCACCTAGATCTGTGAGATCCTGTTATACCAGTCCTGCAGCTCTCCTGCCAACTGGGGTAAGTCCCACACAGGGCTCATATATTCCAGCTAAATGTACAGGAGTGGCAAAATGAGAGGCAACACATCCATGAACCGTGTCAGGCAGGTTGGGAATCCGGAACTCCAGAGAGAGGAAAGTTGATGCTTGAGCCAGTTTCACCCCCTGTGATCCTTTATCACCCATGCTGCACCCAGTGCCAGTCCCCTGGCTGCAGCCTGACTTGAGCATCCATACCTGCCTGCAGAGGGCTCGGAGATAACCGACCTCTCCAAGCCTGTCCTTCTCCCTCAGAGCAATTATAGGCTCACAGGGGTGTGAGGCATGCGGATTTACAACCTTCCACAGGCCTTGTTTACAACTTTGGCAATTACTGTCTAACACTAGAAGCCCTTGTTCTCTTGGAAATGTCTCTTCCTCTTTTTTTTTGCAAAGCATTTCCTGCTTTTAATAAGTTACCTATAATCAGGATAATTCCTGAGCCCAAGCCTCAAAACTCAGTGGCTCTAATTGCCCAGTCAGGGTCTCAAAGGAGGGGGCTCAAGCTGTGTATAATCACTGCTCATTGAGACAGTCAACAAAGAAAGATTTGCCAGTCCAGACCAAATCCTGCTTCCCTCTGGATGTTTTGTGCTGGTTGTGCCTGTTGACTGGTGCTCTTGGAAAGGGTCAGAGGTGCAGAGCAAGGCATAAGTAATAAGGTACAGAAATCACTCAATACTCACATCAGCATCTCAAATCTCAGGCCAGATTGGACAGGGCTTGGAGAGACCTGGGCTAGGGGAAGGTGTCCCTGCCCTTCCAGGTCCCTTCCAGCCAAACCATTCTATGATTCTATGATTCTAAATGCAATAGGAGGTGCCAAAGACCTCTGGGTTTTGGAGTGTCACCACCAACACTGGAGAGAGGCTGATTTGCACAAAGAGCAGGAAGCCTCAAAGTGAAGTTTTTAGTCAGAATTTTTTCTGGGAGATAAATTTGCCTCATGTCCTAGTTTAGTACATAGGCAGCGTTTTTTAAATGTGTCTTTGGAGCTGAGACATCATTTTTACAAGGATCCTGATTTACACCCAGACTGGCAAAGTGTCTCAGGATCCTGTTTTTACAAGGATCCTGAATTATCCTGATCCAGACTGGCAAAGTGTCTCAGGATCCTTATCTCACCAAGTAGTGGCTCAGGAGCTCTTCAAAAGCACTGTATGTGTCTGATTTCTCTGCTGGATGCCAGTTGGTGTGGCCAGATGCATAACTATCTCCAGTAGGACCCAAAGCCCTCTAGCTCCCATAAAACATTAACTCTCAGCTGCCCAGGTTGTTTTGTGGCACAGTTTCCTAAATTATGTGGCTATTCCTGAAAGTCTTTCCCAGGTGCCAAGTTCTGGATCAAGGTCCCTGCTAGCCACAGCCACCTCCCATACTACAGCACCTTCAAGGCACTGGGCTTGTTGGGATGAATTTTCATGGGGTGGGACTCAGACACAGCTTTCCTTCAGGAGAGGAAAACGTCTCCAATGCCTATGTTTCCACACAGATGCAAAGTAGTGCAATACTGAGGAACACAGATGTGAGCAGAGCAAACCCTGCAGAATTTTTTCCAGTGGTTGAACTAGCCCTTGTTCTTCTCTATATGACACTGGCCATCTCTTCCCCAGCAGAGATATTTTTTTGGTCCCTGCACTGATTTTCTTGTCATGCTCATGGAGCTCAGCAGAGTGCCTGTGCAGGTGGGGGGAACCAATTCTGCAGCTTATGTCTTGAGATGTGATTCCCATACAGAGAAAGCAGCAGAGATCTAAACCTGCTGTGACAGCTGCCTGCATCAGGGCTGGGGTGTGATCTCCTGTCCAAACAAGGGGTGACAAAGGAGCAAACCTTCCTAAAAACTACTGTTATCTGAGCATCTGACAACAGCCCCAAGGGTTGCACCATGCTCAGGGCCAGACCAAAAGTGAGCAGGAGCATCACTGACATGGGTATCAGCCCTTCACCAGTCTGCACAGCCTGACTGGCACTGCCTGGATCCCTTCCTCAGTCTGCACAGCCTGGCTGGCACTGCCTGGCTCTCATCCTCAGCCTCCACAGCCTGATTGGCACTGCCTGGTTCTCATCCTCAGCCTCCACAGCCTGGCTGGCACTGCTTGGATCCCTTCCTCAGTCTGCACAGCCTGGCTGGCACTGCCTGGCTCTCACCCCCTGCAGCAGCACAGGGAACCCTCCTCATACTCTGGGCTCTCTCACAGGATGAGGCTCCTTGTGATGTGCCCTAAAGAGAGGACTACAGAAATCAGACCAGACTGAGATCCATAGCGCCTGGCTGGCCTGGCTCTCACCCCCTGCAGCAGCACAGGGAACCCTCCTCATACTCTGGGCTCTCTCACAGGATGAGGCTCCTTGTGATGTGCCCTAAAGAGAGGACTACAGAAATCAGACCAGACTGAGATCCATAGCTTTCCCTGTGGCTGCCAGCATGCTGCAGATCCAGCTGGGGCTCAGGGAATTATCCTAGATGTGATCCTAACAGTCTGGATCCCCCCTGCAGCAGCACAGGGAACCCTCCTCATACTCTGGGCTCTCTCACAGGATGAGGCTCCTTGTGATGTGCCCTAAAGAGAGGACTACAGAAATCAGACCAGACTGAGATCCATAGCTTTCCCTGTGGCTGCCAGCATGCTGCAGATCCAGCTGGGGCTCAGGGAATTATCCTAGATGTGATCCTAACAGTCTGGATCTCCTTCTCTCCTTCTCCCCATTAATTTGCTCCCCATATTCAGATTGCTGCCTCTCTGCATTAGGCTTCATGGACCTGCGCTGAGATAATTATATCAATACTGACTTCAGTGTCAATTTTTCAGAGTTTTAGACTAGCTGGAAATCCAGCCAGCTCCTACCCCAGCCTTCTGGACCACTAAATCAGCAGGGCATCCTCATGGAGCATCCCCTTCAACATCTTCATGCCTGGGGCTCAAGCAGGGTAGCTTTATGCCAGCAGCAGCAATGTGCTGCTGGGAATTGCTCTGTGCCAGCCATACTCTCTCAGGTCTGCGTGGGCTGGATGCTTTTTATTAGAAATAAGCACCAAGGGTATGAGAAAAGAATGTAAACAGTATCTTTAAGTACCTAATAATACATGGTGGCTCATGGCTGGATGCAGTTCAGCAACAAAGCTCTATTTATAGTGACTCAGTGACCCAGAAATTTATTGTCTTCTGGCTGCTTGGAGGAGAACAGTATTGTGCTCCAGGAGGGTCATCAGTCAAGGATTTGTCCTTCTCCCCTCATTTCTTTGCTGAAATAACTGATCCAGGGTGCTGGTAATGACACCCACATCCTCAGCAGTCTCTCTGTGCAGCAACAGGAGCTGAGACACTGCTGTATGTACAAAGCACCTGGATTCTTCATCGATCCATGAGATAAACTCAGCCACAGGTGCAGATTATCTAGATACACCCAAGAAACCCTCACTGTCAGTGTGTCAGGGCTGTGTGATGTGTCACAGCCCCCACACAGGCTCAATAACCCTGTGGCATCATGCCATATTGTTCTCTTGCCTGCCCAGAAAGTCATGTGCAGGAATACAACCCAGCAAGCTGCAAACACTACCCAAACAGCTGTTTCCTGCCCCAAAGCATGGGCATGACATCATGATGCCACGACACAGCCTCACCTTCTGTTACACAGGTCTGGCTGTTAGGAACTTGCTGCACAGGTCTGGAGAGCCTTGGAGGTGTCACTTCTGTCTTTGGCCCTGTGGGCTCCTCTGTCAGCTAAAGCTGATTTGCTGGCCTGTAAGTGAATAAACTCGCTGCAATGAGTCCTGCAGAAATCTCCTTTCACTGTAGAAAATTACTGGCTGGAGTAAGGACCAGCACAGTTCTTGGTTGCTATTGCACTGTTGTGCTGAAACCAGCATCTCCTGCCTCAATCCATATCAGAGACTGATCTCATCCTGGAGAGGTGATGGAGGATGGATGGAGGTTCTTTGCAGGTCTCTCCCTCCAACTCAGGCTGGAGCTGCAGAATCCCTGGGGTCTTCCCAATCATCCTACTAATGCACCAGGATTAGAGGCATGTCACTGATCCCAGTCTCGCTTCTCTCCTAGTGAAAGAAGCAAATAGATGGGCTCAGCTGTGGCACCTGGAGCAATAACTCTCACTTCTTAGGGAGTGGGACACAGCTGTGAGATCACACAGTGGAAAACCACAGGGCTGAGTGACTCCCACATGTCCAATCACACCTTGGCCCTATCACCACTCTCTTATCTCCTTGTCATCACAGGCAGAGGGAGCTGGTGACTCCTAGCCAGTATGACCCAGAGAGGTGTAAACAGAAGCTGTGCTGGGGGGACTCAGTGTGAGCAGAAACTCCAGAAAAACTTCCTAATGGGAGTACTGGGAGCAAAACCCTCCTGACCACATTTGAGATGGAGCTTGCCACATCCTAGAGGGAAGACACAAGTCAGCATTTACAAATCAGGGCTTGGATCCTGGGAGTGATGAAAACCCCATGTCCCCCACAGACGCAGGAACTCTCCCCTAAGCTCTGAGCTTGGCTGCTCTGCAAGGTATCACTCTTATCTTCCTGACCCCATTGGCACGGTTCCCCTGATTACCCCTCCCCTCTCATATCTGATCTTGCACATCTCATCCTGAATTAATGAAGTGATAACGCTGCTATCATGTAATTAATGACACTGTTGCAATGCCCACTGCAGCAGGATCCAGACCTCTCCGTACGCAATCGCAGCCTCCTGCGTTTCCTCACACCGACGTGCGTGCTGGCACTTGCACACTGCTGCCTTTTCTCCAAGCATTTTCCCTCTCTTTGCTATCCCCACTGGTCTTCCCAAGGCCTCTTTAATCATTTCATAGGAAGAGAAATGTTCGAAATGCAGTTGTTACTTTAACACATGGTTTGGTTTCTTGATCATTTCTGAACAGTTTGACCTCAAGTGTGCAAGTGGGAGCAGCACTTCTTTTTTGATGGCTGGAATGGGAATAGGCCTGGATTCAGCTCCAAACACCTATGGAAAGCCAATACATTCGGCCTGAGAATTGCTGTTAATGGGAGCATCAACTTCTTTCACGGATGCCTTAGTGAAAATCAAGATTAGTCTCTGGTGTTTAAGGGAATAGAGACCTTACATTAAGTGTGAATTGTGTTTCCCGCTGGAATACAAGAGGATGTGTTTCAGATATATGACAACATCCCTGTGATTTGCAGCCCTGTTACCATAAACTGAGATCCCATGGGACACCACAAGCCAAGCATTGATTTTACAGTTTACCTGGTGCATGGAGGGGCTGCTGAGGGGCAGGCTCCAGCTGTGGATGTCAGATTCCAGGCCTGGGGTCTGGGTCAGCATCTAGCTGGAAGATGAAAGGAAAAGGATTGTCAGGCTGAGATAAAAGTCACCCTGGTGGTTTGCCAAATGGCATTTTAGCAGATGGCTCCAAAGCTCCAAATTGCTGTCTGGCAGGTAAATGCAGCACCACAATCCCAACCTTTCATAAGCAAGAACAGTTCTCCCTGGGGAGGCCATGCTTCCCGGTGATGGCTCTCTACTGAGTTTGCAAAGTCAGGTGAAAAAGCCAGGGTAAGAACCCACAGAGGATAATTAGTTCAGACTTCATTCCCCTGTAGCTGCAGGGTGGACTGGGCCTGACCCAGTAGACAGGTCTAGGCTTTGGGCACTCACTGCTCATCCTCAGCTCCCACATTTTGTCCATCAGCATCTGCTGCTCCTCAAAGCACTGACACCTTCAACCAGTCCAGCCACAGGCTGAGCCCCAACACCATCCCCTCCTCCCCAGACAAATCCAAGTCCATCAACAAAGGAAGGAAATCAGGGCAAATAATCTCACTGTGTTCGTTTGCCAGGTATGTTCAAAGGAGGTTTATGACTTCATGTAATTACTAGTGTCCAGAACACCTCCCCTCTGCAGGCCAGGTAGCTTCACACATGACACTACAGGATGTCACCTCAATCCTTCCTCTTCCCACCTACCAATGTCCTGCTTGTTCTGCTGCCCTCCACCACACCCACTCCCAGTTAAAGATGTTTTGCTAGCCGTGGCTTGCTATGGTGGCTGAGCTCCTGACACCCTCCCAGCCACTCTCACTGGAAGGCTGAAAGGGTCAGAAGCCATCCAGGGAGCTCCTGGCAGGTCTGGGTTGACAGGAGAGGGAGATGGCTGCAAACAGAGGAGTTTGGCAAGTTGCTTGAAGACACTGTGCAGCTGAAGCCAAACCACCACCCAAAAAGAGCACACCAGCTCATCCTCTGCTTGCTGGTCCTAGAGATGCCTGCAGGGAGAGCACAGGTGTCTGCAGCCACTGTTGCCACAGCAATAGCTGTCCTTCCAGTTCCAGCCTCACTTCTCGAGAAATGCCTCTGCCCTCTCTTGTGCCAAGAGCAATACCTGCTTCCCCACGATGCTTTCCACTAGAGATCAGTATCCTCTCTACACACACAGGGATCGAGGCACATGGTGGGATGGGAATTACCCAAGATCATGCAGTAAGCTGAATGTGCCTCTTGTTTTTCAGATCAGCAATGTATAAGCTGAATATGCCTCTTGTTTTTCAGATCAGCAATGTGAGCTTCTTTCTCCTTGCTCCTGCCCTGCTCTTCCTGAACCGGCAGTACTGTAAGCAGCGTGCGGTGCCCTTGTATGTTGTCTCTGGCCTGCTCATCCTCATAGGTGGGTGCCAAGTTGGGGGAAGACCAGAGAGGTTACCAGAGTACCCAAGTGTTCACATAAGCTGAATATGCCTCTTGTTTTTCAGATCAGCAATGTGAGCTTCTTTCTCCTTGCTCCTGCCCTGCTCTTCCTGAACCGGCAGTACTGTAAGCAGCGTGCGGTGCCCTTGTATGTTGTCTCTGGCCTGCTCATCCTCATAGGTGGGTGCCAAGTTGGGGGAAGACCAGAGAGGTTACCAGAGTACCCAAGTGTTCACTTGTGATACCTCTGGAGGTTCTTAGTGGCCAAAGCACATGAGCAAGCTGGAGTGGGGAACTCAGCAGCCACATCCCTCTGAAGCCCTGCAGCTCACAGTTCCTGCTGGCTGTGGATGTGCAGCTCCCAGGCCAGTAAACCCCCATGGTGCTGAGTGTACTGACTCATTCAGGCCTCCATTAACACCAAAATTCATGCCCTGCTCTTGAAGAACAGTGTG